GCACCCCTACCCCCCCACAGCATAGATAGGTGTCTCATCTCCACCAAAGGAAGTATCTCCTTTGACTGCCTCTATTTCAGGCAATGGCCCTGCCCATGTCTCCTGTACAATATGATCATATGACTGTTCACATATATATCAGTACATTTAAGCTAGCTTAAATTGTACATGTAGAGAAAATTATGAAAAAAGGTTGTGTGACAGAAAAAAGGACAATAGAAAAATGTCACCAGCACACCATAAGTTGAAAAAGCAAAATATTTTATTGCCAATAGCTGTATCTCATTTGCAAGCGATTTCAGGGCCTCGCAGGGTCCCCTTTATCAGGCTTAGAGATGTAAGCCTGATGAATGGGACCCTGTGAGGCCCCGAAAGCGCTTGCCAATGAGATACAGCTATTGGCAATAAAATATTTTGCTTTTTCAACTTATGGTGTGCTGGTGACATTTTTCTATTGTTCATGTGCAGCGGTGCCATCCGCAGTCATTTCGAGCACCCATCTTCATCAAGTGGGAATCCTGGTAAGGAGTACGGTATGGTTCCTGTTTCAGTTTTTACAGAAAAAAGGACCACGCATGTTAAAAATGTTTCTTTATGTGTAAAAAAAAAAACATAATAGAGAGATGCTCATGATAGCTGTCATTTAATATGGCAGGCAGATACAATGACTTCTAAGGTTATTTATGTACTTACCATCAACCCAAGTGAAAACCTCCTGCTGAATATCTCCAACCTCTGCAGCGGTAACAGCTAAAATAACATCAAGAAATGAAGTATTCTTGATCTTGGCTATTTCATCTACAGTAAACAACCTAAAATAAGGATATAGTACAAAGCTGTATTATCTTTGCAAAATTGAGAGGATCTTATCTTTGCATAATTGAGACAGATAGATACATATACAATAGAGTCATGTAACCACAGAAAGAGTAACACAAATAAACAAACAAACAAAAAAAGAGGCACAGAGGCACTTGCTCAATGTAGTGATGATCTATGTTCTTTAGGCACATTCTTAGCGTATACAAATTTGTGAATGTATTTGTTAAAATGCTTAAATGCTCACAGGTTTTCTTCCGTTGGGGGTGGATTATACGTTGTTATTATTATTATGTGGAAATATTGAAGTTAGAGTGTTTCATTATTTTGAAAACAGAGAAGTTTAGCCAAGCTCTTTGACTACAAAACCTGCAGAAGAAAGTAGAACTTATAAAAAATATGTGTTGGTGGCATTCTGCTTCATGAAGGACTGCAATGCAATACAAAATATCGAATGGTTGTATTAATAGCAGTATTTGCATAGGGAGTCATGCTTATCTATCATGCTTTTCTATTGCATGCATGTTCCTTCACAGAATGGTAACAGTTTTTCATAGCTATGCGTTTCATATGACTTTCTATCGTGACTTCCTGAACCACTGGCCTTGTGTCTTGGGTGGCCTTGCCTCGAACTTTTGTTTCTTCCATTCCTATATTATTCTATCTCCACTCTGTTCATTCTTTCCCTTTGTTTTCTACCTGACCCTCTTCATGTTTCCTCTCTTTACCTTCAACCATTCCCCCTTCCCTTTCCCTCTCCCAGTGATTATCCTCCCGGATCACCATAATTCCATTTCTGGGTCGCCCCTACAACAAGCAACGACACAGTTGTCGCATTTTCACCTACAACTAACCCCCCCCGCCCCACACACACACACACACACACGCACGCACACACAAACACATACACAACCATTATATCATAATTTATATTAGAAAGAAAAAGCATTTTACATATTAAGAAGATCTGAGTTTTTATATGTTTAGCAATTAATAATATTTACCCATTTCTTGAATGTTCAAACCAGAATCGATCTCCATCTCGCAAACGCTGAAACTGGTCCAGAGCGATGGCAGTAAGAAGCTCCCCTGGATCTCCAAAACTCTCCAGCATGGCACCCGGAAGAAGCTCTAATTTACTTATGTCATTGTCATAGAGTACATCCAAGTCATCAAACAACTACAGTGTGGAAAAACATACATATCACTATGCTAATAGTGTCCCTGCTTTTTACTACTTAAATTGTATTTCCACTTTTGCAGCCAAATTGAAATAACACCTACTGGTTGGTTACATGTTGCCATTCAGATTGCATTTGCTTTAAAAAAAAGTTAATTGCTGCCTGTTTGAACTTGCCTAAAAATCCTACCCATCT